AGCTCCAACTACTTAGTAAACAAATTATCTGCAGCATTTATTTGCCTTTTTGGCAAATTACTATATATGAAAATAGAAAGCCATTGTATAAACCACAAACTTTCCCACAACCGCAAAGTAAATTTTGTGTCCATTCACAGAAAAATGAATGGCCGAGTGGTTTGAGCGGCACTGCTAATCAGGTAAGTTTCATCTTTTTTATAAACTACATTGTCACACTCATAAATAATGCAATGAAGATTAAAACTGATAAAGATGTTAACAAGGGAAATACGCTCCTGGCAATATTTTATTTGGTGAACCTTCCCAAAAACTCATTTCAGGACAGAAGCAGGCCATGAACAGGCAGAATGAAACACAGGTATAAGCGAGATGGTAAGTGGGACTGAAAATGGTCTGAGAATGAGTGAGGAGGTGAGCAAAAGTTTGTTTGCTTGTGGGAGAGAGAAGCTAGGGCGGGAGCTAATTGAAGGGAATCTTAAAAGATGATTGATTTCTGAGAAAGGGACATCTCATAGGTGGTTCAGGTGAAGCTGATAAGTCTCCCAGACTGAATTTTCGCTTAAGCTTCAGTACCAGAAAAATGCTTTAGGAAATATAGTACTTGGACATTACAGGATAAAAATCGATTGAAGAACAATTTTAACACTCTGAAAGTTAAAATCTCATCACACAGAAGTGTTATGTCAGTAGAACAGGCGCTTAATTTTAGATATTACACTTTCACTTTAAATTCAATAAAAAATAATATTATTGATTCCAAAGAGAAATAAAAAAAACTGCCAAAATTTTCTGTTCTGCGTGTAATTTTTCTTTAGAATTTGAAAGGGATGAAAAGGTTCAAGTCATGTTTATGAATGTTTATAGGCCTCTGAAGTCCAAAACAATTTTTAAGGTTTTTAATGAACTTTTTACCTGTGACATGTGTTGAACATGACTCCTTAATTCTTGTGACAGACTTAATGCACATGTTGAATACCCTGAAGACAGAGGTGTAAAAGAACTTTGTGATATACTTAAAATTGTTGGACGCCGGTGGTGGACCAAATACTCAACTACAGGTTTGATTGGTTTTTAGTCTATTTTGAATTTATAGCCCCCCCCCCCCCCCCTTAAAAAACTCCACCAGCTGCCACCATGTTTCAAAAGTGGCATGACAGATATTACTTTTTGCTTTCACTGTCACTCCAATTCTCTCTGCTGAGGTAGGCATTGTGATGCCATTATGATTAGGATGTATCCTAATTAGATAAACCCCAAATCTGACTAATTTTAAAAAGGACATCTACTCCCTCGGAGGATGAAGCTTCGATGCTTTTCTCTAAAGGTAGAAGACCAATCACCTGGCAAAGGAAGCTCAAGCATAGGATCTGGTACTTCTCAGTCATGATTTAGAATGTTGCACTTAAGTTTTGATCGGATAAAGCGTCACCTTTATTGCTCAGCTCGCTTTGACCCATTTAGCATTTTTTAAATTGGGAAATTTTAAACTAAGATCAGCTGTATTGAGTCTTTTTTTTTTTTTTTTTACCAAGATGTACCTTCTAAATGGTAAGATTTTTATCTGTAGCATCTATAGTAATAAACAAAAACTATTAAAGTTGTGATGGATTCACCAAGGCCAGTTCTTCATTTACTGTCCAAATGGTGCAATATTGGAGCAAAACTGATACAGATGAAGATCTTGATGGTCTATGTGTGATAAACCATGAATGAACAGATATACAAATAATAAGATGTTGAAGACGTTTCACTTCCTATCCAGGAACCTTTTTCAATTCAAAGTGTGGAAAAACCTTCCTGGAGGGGAAGTATAATGTCTTCAAACTTAAAAAAAAAAAATTCACCCACATATCTAAACTGCTGTAAGTTTAATGAGATACCGTATAGGATTCAACCAGCAGTTCCATCATGACTTTCAACATTAAAGAAAAGACATACACACACAGAGCTTCTAATATTATTTTTATTAAAGACTGTAGGGAATACACAAGTTTCCTCTGACAATATCAAAATAAAAGATAGCTGGAGCTAATGTATAAACAGAGCTATGATGTGTCTCTTCCTCATCTTCTTACATCCTAAAGACAGTTTAGTGTCTTTCGGTGTTGCAGACTCAAACACAACATCTGTTCACATGGAAAAACATCTGTTATCCTTCAGACAAGAAGATAAAAGTTTAGAAACCTCACCCGAACAGCTGATAATTACCACACCATCTTTAAAGGAGGGGAATAAAAAAAAAAACTGTTACCATATAACACTGATGCTGAGCAGTTCACAGATCATCATCTTCACAAGTTTTAAGAAACAAATGAGTTTTTTTCCAGGTCTTATTTTAATAAAACTGAGCCCACTAAGAGAAATCTACAGCTAATTCTAGGTACGTTCAGATTAAACTACACCTGAAGATGTGGACAATTATACAAGGGCAAAGTTGGGTTAAAAGCAGAGGAATACGTTGCAAAAATCTGCAATTTTTAGTTTCATCTTCTGCTACAGCTACTTTACAGAATACCACCAGATGGTGGCAATAGATGTCCAACTGTTTGCCAAAGCAGGCTGGAATAACAAGCTGTACAGTGCTGATAAAAATGAGCACCCACTTACAGATTTCCTCCTGTTTTATCATATTTAAAGGATTTCTATCATGAAACAAATGTGAGAGAAATGTAACCTGAGTAAACAAAGAAAGCACTTATAAAAGATGATTTCATTTCCTGAAAGGAAATAACCTATCTAAACATCACCGGCTGTATTAGAAAAAAATAATAATTACACACTTAATAAATTCCCTGGCTGTGTCTAAAAATGCAGCAAGGTCTGTCATCAGGTAATTCTGCTGTTAATGAGACATTAACATAAATGTGGAGGAAGTTTGACCCACTCTGCTTAGCTGAGATCATTTAACTTCAGTGCCGTTGCAGGATTTTCTAGCATTAGTGGCCTGTTTAAAGTCAAGGGTGACTTGGTCAATTATAGACTTATATATAATCTTCCTATCTTATTTAAGTGTGAGATCACCTATATCCATAATTAACTTTTCAGAAAGTTTCAATCAGGTTTCTGAGCTGATCAAAGCACTGAAACAGCTCTGGTAAACGTTACTAATGATATTCTCATATCCTCAGATAATGGACTTTTATCAGTACTTGTCCTGTTAGATCTCAGTGCTGCATTTGATAAAGTTGATTATAATATTCTTTTAGAAAGGTTAGATTTAGTTCTAATGAAAATAAAAAAAAAATGATCACATCTATCCAATCTTAGCTTCTCTTCATTGGCTTCTTGTTAGATCAATTTATAATTTAAAATCCTTGTTTTCACATATAAAGCCTTAAATGGCCAATCTCCATCTTATATCAGAGATATAACTGTTCCTTATATTCCTTACAGAGCATTTTTCTCTTAATCTGCAGGTTTACTAGTGCATCCTAAAATTTCTAAAAGTAGAATGGGAGACAGATCTTTTAGTTATCAGGCTCCTCTCCTGTGGAACCAACTACCAGTTTTAGCCCTGACCTATCTTTAAAGTTATGTTGCTATACGCTTAAACTACTGGAGGACATAGGGACCCCTTTTCACCATTTCGCTCAATTCTGTCTATGTTCTCCATTTCATGGTATCTGATAGTTCTCCTTTTCCTCATAATAGCTTCATCTGGTTTGTTCCTGTTTGGCTAGAACTCCATCCTGGAGAGAAAAATATCAGCTGTGCTGCTGCCATCAACACCTTTGTTTAAAGATGTTGGAGCCTAGCCTGTTTTTCTGTGTAGTCCTGTATCTCTTACTGTGACTAACTGTATGTGCATTCTTCATGCTCTAATATGGGACCTGGCTCGGGGCTTGTCTGCCTGACAGCATCTTTCCTGGAAAGGGTCGCCTATGAAGCTAGTTAGTTTTTGTATCTCTGATTATTTTTCTATGTCTGCCTCTATCTCCCTGAACCCTAGACGGCAGAAGGCAACAAACTCGGAGCCTGGTTCTACTGGAGGTTTCTTCCTGGTAATAAAGGTCTTTTCTCTCCACTGTCGCAAACTGGATACTTGGTGTGAGGGATTACCGTTGAGTCAATGAGTCGATGCAATCAGCTGGTTTCCCGTAAATAGAATACTTGGAACCAATCTGAATGTGTGATTGGGTTTAATTGTCTCTGTAAAGGGGAGTGGTGGCCTAGTGGTTAGGACATCGAGCTTGGAATCCTGAGGTTCTGGGTCTGAGCCCCACTGCCACTCTGGGACCCTGAGCAAGACCCTTAATCCCACAGTGTTCCCCAGCCCCCCACGATGGCACAGTCCACTGCTCCTCAAGGGGATGGGTTAAATGCAGAGGTTTCTGCAATGTGAGATCAATAAATAACATTTAATAAAGTGCCTTGAGATTACATTTGTTGGGAATTGACACTATATAAATAAATTGAATTGAAATTCCAGCATTTTGAGCCATTCAGCGGTGGTTGTGTGCTTTTGGCTCATTGTCCTGCTTAGCAACCCTATCTGGACTGAACCTTCTCCTGTTTTCTTTCAGTAAGAAATTTTTGTGGCTTTATCAACAAAACAAACGCTCCTGGTATTAAAAAAGCAATACAGACCCAGACCGTCACATTGTCACCACCATGTTTAACTGTAGGCAGGATGTTCCTGCTTAGAAATTCTTTTAGCTTTACATCAGATTTAATCAGATGCAGATCTAATAACTTGAGTGGGCATTGTTTTGTTTCACACATTGCTAAAACCATTACAAAAAAAATTAACAAATGTCTGGTTGCCTAAAATTAAATCCTTTTTTGTGGTTGTCTTGACATTGATAACTAAGAATTTGCACAGGCAGTATGAGAAAACATAGGTAACCAGATGCTTTGGACAAAGGCTGCAACTTAAATCTAAATCCTATCATAAGAAGTATTACAAACATAAACATTGTTGCTGACCATGTCCACCCCTCCCCAATGAAAAACTATTCCTATGGCTCGTTGTTTCTATCAAAATGTAAGACAGACACCAGTTAGAGTTTTGGGATGTTGTTGTTCTGGCCTTAAAGTCTTCAGATTGCAATCCAATCAAGCATCTGTAGGTGAGGTATCAAATCAATTAGGGTGGTCATATTGTAATGGCTGATTAATCTGTACACTGGTTGAACCATTTATAATGACTGCAATTAGCTAAGGCCACTTTTCTTTGCTCTTGCCTTTAAGGCTTTTCCTTTAAGTCAGAACTATATTTGGGCTTATCAGGAATGCCATAAATTAAAAATGTACTCCCTAGACCTCTGTGGTGTCAGTGTGGGTCAGTTATTAGAATTATAATCATCTTTGAATAAGGCTCACAGTGTTTAGATACAACATCCATGTTAAAGTGGGTCTTGCAGCCCCCTCTTTAACCAAAGCACTGTAGCAGTATTTCCATGTCTGGTGACAGATACTATCTGCTGCTTTTATGACCTTGGAAAGTATTTTTAACAATAACGATGATGATTTAAAAAATTACCGACATGTAACAAAAAAGATTCATTTACTATTTGTAACTTCAATAAACTACAAAAAACGTATATATTTCATGCAATTGTTTGCCTGTCTTCTCCCTAGCCACTGGTATTTGCAAACATAAGTAACCATCTAAATTGCAGATGTTAATCTGGTGGTGGAGCTTTGCAAATCATCTGAAGTTGGCAGTGTTTTTTTGTTTATAAAGACCCTTGCGCACAAAATACTGAAGCTAATCTCAAAATAACTGTACTCCTATTTGGTCTCTAATGGAAATACAAAGAACAAAGAGAGGCATGCTTCCAGCGGTCACCACAGTGCCGGCTCAGAGTTCTTGTCGAGGTTTGGCCTGACAACACAAGGCTGTGGTATTCTACACCCCGCGGGACGCAGAGGGAGGACTGACATGAACAAACACACAAACACGCCACCACCGAGTGTTTGGAGGGTGTCCAGACTGTGGCTCGGTCTACATTTAACCTCTGCCATCATCACACTACAAAGAGCAGCAAAACAACAACAGCAAGGGCGATGGCACCCATCGCCTTTATCTGTCGTCAGGTTTGGGTGAGTCCACAGGCTCCTCTTCCTCTTCCTTCTCATCTTTTGCGCCGATCAGCCGCTGGCGAGCGAAGTCCTCGAATATGATGTCATCATCACTGAAGGATGGAGAATTGAACTTAGTATTAGATAGGACCTCGTTCAGTCTTTAAGAGGATCTTTAGCCACACTCTAATGCCTATAAAAATGTGGTTGATAATTTATCCAACTATTTGAAACAATGAAAGATTTAGTTTTAAAGATGTCTTTCAACTTTATTAATTACCTCATTTTGCTGAAAAGACGTGACTCAACATCAATAATCAAAAGATTTAAAAATCCTTAGATGTACTTGTATTAACAAATGCAAGGGTGTGAACTTATTCATACTATTGAAAATTGTGAGTTTTCTTTGGCACAATTTAAGGTCTATAATCTGTTACAGATAGCTCTCCTCAGGGTGAAGAGCTCACAGCAAATTTGTTAGTGTTAATTCAAGTCATTGTCAGTCAAATGCAAAAATATTATTGCTCTACACTGCAACTCTTAACAGTTTTAGTTTAACTCTTAAGAGGGTAAAAATTATCTAAGTGTAATGTGTAGTATCAAAAGTTAATATTGCACTCTAGTGTTAATCATTCACCCATTAATGATGGTAAGCTACATACTGTACAAGACAGACTGACAGGAGCATAGGCAATGAGTGCAAAGTGTCTTTCCCAAGGACACAACGTCTGAGATGGGTGGACCTGGGATTTTGTTGGTTGACCCTTTAGTTTCAGGACAAAATTGTTAGTGTGATAGTTTTACCAGAGTGGGGACTTTTGCTAAGCTCAACCATCTTACTCCATCGTTTAAGAGCTATCCCTATGACAAACAACATGTTAAACCACTGGTTCAATCCAAGCTATCTACTCAGCAGCTTGGCATTTTCTTGTTTGAAGCCAGTAACCTCACTCATCAAAATTGTCTGCTGCCTTTAAAACTTCGAGATTTGAGCCACTTTAAGCAAACGCATCACAGACAGTATGAAATTCTAGGAAATATCTGATAACTCTGTTTACAGTGTTGCTTCAACTTAACACCAGCTTTTGGAGGTATTCTTGCATGGAACTCTTGCATGGTTAAATCTGACTAAGATGCTAAATTAACACTTTCCTTTCAACATAATACACGAAAACTAGAGATCTAAAACATTAGATTCTGCTGTGTAGCAGCTTTCTTCAGTTTGTTTAAAGCAGGTAATGGTTCAACAAAAGTTCTGAATGAAAATCTGTAGCAGCATGATTTACGTCCAAAAAACCTCAATATTTGGCTGAAAAGTGAAAAGTGAAAAGCTGTAATTTCAGAACATTGAAAAGACATTGACAACTGGGTTTGCAGCATCTTTTCAAAGTCTATTATTGGACTAAAGGGACAAAATCAGACCGACCAATTTTCAAAAATGATTTTTTAACTAAATCAAGACTATGACTGACCAGATTTAGTCTAAAAACCAATGTCTAAATGACATCTGGTGTTTAGGGGGGTTGGCTATGGTACAAAATATTGTTGAAAAAAAATTCAGGAGATTGAGAGAAGTCAAAAAAGACAGCCACACTGCCAAGACTGATGGTGCAAGAGATGAAGGAGAATAAAATGATCTCCACCAAGGCCAAAGTCTGGGCCAACAGCTATGAGGAGACACCCCATGCTATAGTCCATGAATAGCCAAAGGAGCATACCAATTTTCCAGCTAAAAAGCAAAATGCCTTCTTACTGTGTTATCAAATGCATATGTTTTATCTATCATTGAGAACTGTATAACTTTTTTCGGATATGGTAGCTTTGTTCAATTTCAAATAACATTGACAAAGGATTTTTTTCTAAACTAAAAATATTTCTTTATTGTCTTATCCTCTTTTAGTGGTACTTGTGTCTTAACTTTAAATCCACCTCTACTATGTGTAAGAATAATATTGGCTGCCAGTGTAGATCTAAATATATGTCGGGCTTTCTGTCCATACTGTATGATGTGCCAATATTAAGACACATCAGAAACAAACTAACCAGTCTTTAAAACACAGAGCTCATTAATCAAGAGAGACTTTAAAGACCCCTGGTAGAAAGTCTTTCAATGTTGCAGTGAAATAGAAATATTTTTTCTGCTGACAGGTTTTTTTATTGGCAAGCCTATGATGGCGCCTTTGACCACCAGTTTTTCAAATACTGCATTTATTAGCATACCCAGGTTGGCTTTGTAAAGGAGAAATAGTGTTTAGTCACCTCGATGGATTGATAAAAGTTGCACAATAACAAACAAAAATTGTCCTGCTGATGTAACTTCCAGCCTACATATTTACAAAGCAATCTGTCAAAGAAGTGACTTTTCGAAGTTTAAATTTGGCACTACAACAAAAATTGTAGACTTTGAGGAAAATGGACAAACATTTATAGACATATAAGATGCAATAAACATCACTCTGAGTAAGCTATAACAAGCATAAGGCAGTATGTGGGTTCATTTGGAGCTTACTTCTTAAGGCAACCATGTGTACTAACCACAATATCATCTGCATACATGTTAACCTTATATTCAAACCATGCTAAGATGAAGGATTTAAAAGGCATCAAATACAACAGACCTTAGCCCAGGTCTTATCCCTGATGGGTTTTTATTTTAAATGTAAACTGTCTAAGAATAAACAAACAAATATGTTTCTGAAACTTTTAAGATGTACACTCACCGGCCACTGTATTAGGTACACCTTGTAGGTGCCAGGTTGGACCCCTTTATGCCCTACCATCATTATTCTTAAGACAGTGTTCTTTTGAGATTTTGATCCATTTTGAGATATCATCACTCAGCTGCTGTAGATTTGAACATGCATACCACAAATCTACCCACCATCCACCTCACAACCCAAAAGGTGCTCTATTGGATTGAAATCTTGTGACTGATAGTTGTTTGGGTTAAGTGAATTATTTGTTAAGCAAAGAAAAAAAAACAGTCAGACATCGTTTGTGTGTGCTAGTGCAAAGTGGATGAGTACACTGGGGTCATAGAGGGAAGAACATTGTCAGCAACATCTATAGGATAAGATATAAAAAAAAAACTGTCATGTGGACGCACTGTTTATACAGTATATTTCCCACCTTCTTCTTCTCCTTTGACCATTAGCTGATGTAACAAGTAAATTTCTCCACCATGAGATCAATGAAAGTCAATCAATCAATATAATGTCCAAGGGAATTAATTAGAGACTAAGGGGTGCAGGGTAAGGGGTGTCCTTCACATTATAAGGTTTCATGATGTTTACTCCAACTCCGTATCATCTACCTATCTGTATATTGCAGCTGAACTAGAAGACTCATCGGATCAGGCAACACTTTTCCAATGTTATTGTCAGGTTTTGGTGAGCTTGAGTGAATTGTAGCCTTTGATCTAAGCATCTGGTTTGGTCTCCTGCTGCTGCAATGTTCAACGCATTGTGTGTTAAGAGGTGATGTCCAGCAAACCTTGGTTGAAATTAATGGAATTTTATATAAAAATCCCTTAAGTCCCCTTTTCTTCCCCATCCTGACACTTGCTAAGAACTTCAGCAACTTATCCTATCCACTTCAAGAAGACTAAAAGCATTGAATTGCTAGGTGATTGTTATCAACCAGTCACTGAAAAAGTGCTCCTAATAAAGTAGCCGGTGAGTTGTAAAAAGGTAACAGTACAGATACCAATCCATGTCAGATGAGAGGCTCAAACATTGGCACCTTTATCTGAAAACATCTGCTGATCTCTGACTCTGTCTGAGTTTGTTCTCTTATTTCAAAGCAGAGGACACATTTGATGAAAGCAGCTTCTGAAGTAGATAGAAATTGAAGTGGCGTCGATGACTGTGGATCAGCACAGTGTCCAGTCTGATGAGAGGATGGATTTTAGTTACACTAACATAAAAGAAAAATGTGTCTTCTGACTCCTTTTCAGGCATGTTGTATAAGATGGATCACAAACAAACCAAAACCCAATTGTTTTCCACATTTATCTAGGATTAAATTCATAACAGGCGCCATGTCACTTGTGAGACTGTCTTATGAGTTCTGGCCAGTTCAACTAAAGGGCTTTCAAAGAGAACAACAGAAAGTTTACTGAAAATAAAGTGAACATTGAATCCATCTGAGCAAGACAAACTCCCAAATAGAGTCTTAAAGCAATCTTGCAATCATAATAATCAGTAAGATCCAGAGTGGCTGCTGACAGCAGGAAGAGTTTCCAGTTTAAAGCCCATTTCCTGCAGCTCCAACAGCAACACGCATTAGGATGCATTAAGGCTGAGGCTCGGGTGATGGCTTCATCACTGATAATGCTTCAAGGGGCAGGGAGGAAACCCTCTCTGCTGCCAGCACCGTCCACGAGAAGCAACCAATCAGAAAGGCAGCTGATGAGGAGAAAGACTGACAGGTGGAGGTAGGAGGGGATAGCAGCTTACTGTGTGTCAAATTCAATCAGGTTAGTGTCGATTGGGGCTTCATCTGGAGCTGTGGACAACAAAGAAAGAGGCAGTCAGAGCTGTGTCATCAAAACACAAACTGAACAAACTTACTGTAAATATTCAAAAATAAATTGCAACAAAACTTTGTTATTTAATAATAAAATTAAGTTAAAGTAACAGCTTAGGATTTGTTTAGGACAAAAACTAATATTCCAATTTGGTCAAAAGACTTCATTGACAAAGAAAACAAGTCATTCAGATAACAAAAGCTTTTTTATCCAACATATCTGGTGAACGTTAAACCATTTCTGTTGTATAAGACTGGGGGTAAAATAAGTATTAAACATGACCCCATTTTTCTTAGTTAACATCTTTTTATAGGTGCTGCTGACATGACATTTCACTAGATGTCGGTTGCAATCCTTGTAATCCACATATACAAAGAAATCAAACCATAGATCTCCAGATATTAAGTTATGTGTAATAATGTGGAATGACAAAGAAAAAGTTTTGAACACATGAAGAAAGGGAGGTGCAAAAAGGCATGGAAAGCCAAGACACCATCCGATACCTCTCAGTAATTAGAAAGCAATGCTGCCCCTTATCAGTGCAATATAATATCAGCTGGTTCAGTCCCAAATGATGGCTTATAAAAAGGTGTCTATGGGATCACACAAGAAACATCAGATGAGCTTTCTGAAGATCACTTATGGAGAGCATCAGAAAGAACTGTTTTTCAAAGAAAACAATGAGTAATGCTCTCAATGGCCTGTATGCACGCTCACCACGCAACACTCCATTACTGAAGAAAAAGTATGTTGAAGCTCGTTTAAAGTTTGTTGCACAACATTTAGACAAGCCTGTGAAATATCCGGAGAATATAGTCTGGTCAGATAAGACCGAAATTGAACTGTTTGGATTCCATAATACACACCATGTTTTGAAGTCAAATGGCAGTGCATGTCATCCAAAAAACACCATATCAATAGAGAAGTTTGGAGGTGGGAACATCATGGCGTGGGGCTGTTCCTCAGCATATGGTTCTGGCAAAGATCAAATAATTGAAGGAAGGAGAAATCCTTTCTACAACTCTGCTGTCATAAGCCAGGATGATTAAGATGAAATGTGGGGGAACATTTCAGCAAGACCATGACCCGAAACACAAAGCCAAGGAAGGTCTAAATTGGTTTCAGAGAAATAAAATACAGCTGCTTGAATGGCCCAGCCAATCACCTGACTTGAATCCCATAGAAAATCTATGGAAAGAACTAAAGATCAGAGTTCATGGAAGAGGCCCAAACGAAACCTTCAAGATTTGAAGACTTTTGAAGTTTGAAGTTTTAAAGTTTGTGAGGAAGGATGGGCCAAAATCAAACCTGAGCAATGCATGCGACTAATTTCTCCCATACTGGAAGCGTCTTGAAGCTGCCAACAAAGGCTATTGTAGAAAGTATTAAATACATTTCAGTCAGTGTGTTCAATACTCTTTCCCTGTGTCATTACACATAATTTAATTTCTGGACATCTATGATTTGATATCTTTATTTCTTTTATCTGTAGAAATATTTACTGAGAAAAATGGTGGCATGTTCAAAACTTAGTTTACCTGTTTTACTAGCAATAAGTTGGCAACCAAGTTTGTTTCCGGATTGATTTAAAATAAATGTATATACTTTTGAAAGTGCTCATTGCCTCTCTAATGCCTCTCATTCGTGAACAAGACCCCAAGATACTTAAACTCCTCCACTATGGGGAGTACATCCTCCCCAACCTGGAGAAGGCACTCTACCCTTTTCCGGCTCAAGACCATGGTCTCAGACATCCCGGCCGCTTCACACTCTGCTGCGGACCGCTCTAGTGAGAGCTGTAGATCACGCCCTGATGAAGCCAACAGAACCACATAATCTGTAAATAACAGAGATGCAATCCTAAGGCCACCAAAACAGATTCCCTCAACACCTTGGCTGCGCCTAGAAATTCTATCCATAAAAGTTATGAACAGAATTGGTGACACAGGGCAACTTTGGCGGAGTCCAACGACCAACCGAAAACGAGTCCGACTTACTGCCGGCAATGCGGACCAGGCTCTGACACCGGTCATACAGAGACCTAACTGCCCCTATTAAAGGGCCCGGTACTCCATACTCCCGGAGTACCCCCCACAGGACCCCCCGAGGGACACGGTTGAATGCCTTCTCCAGATCCACAAAATACATGTAGACTGGTTGGGCAAACTCCCATACACCCTCCAGAATCCTGATGAGGGTGTAGAGCTGATCCAGTGTTCCACGGCCAGGACAAAAACGACACTGCTCCTCCTGAATCTGAGATTCGACTAACCGACAGACCCTCCTTTCCAGAATCCCGGAATACACCTTAACAGGGAGGCTTAACAACTCTGTAGTTGTAACACACCCTCCTGCCCCCTTTTTTAAATATAGGGACCACCACCCCAGTCTGCCAGTCCAAGGGAACTGCCCCTGACGTCAATGCAATGTTGCAGAGCCGCGTTAACCAACACAGCCCCACAACATCCAGAGCCCTAAGATACTCAGGGCGAATCTCATCCACCCCTAAAGCCTTGCCACCAAGGAGCTTTTTAACCACTTCAGTGACTTCAGCAACAGAGATGCCGGAGCGCCCAGGCTCTGCTTCCTCAATGGAAGACGTGTTGGTGGGATTAAGGAGTTCTTTGAAGTACTCCACCCACTGACATACGACGTCCCGAATCGAGGTCAGAAGCACACCACCCCCACTATAAATAGTGTTGGTACTGCAGTGCTTCCCCCTCCTGATACGCCGGATTGAGTTTTTCAATAAGTTTTTTTTGTTTTTTCTATTTATGAAGTCATTAAGCAAAGCATCTGTATGATAACATGCACAGAGCAATGCATTTTTATAATAAATATCAAACTATTACCATAAATGATGATGAAAACATTGTTTTCAGCAAGATTTGGATATTTATTATATTGCAAAATATCATGATACAGTCACAAAACATCATTCATCAGAACATATTACTATCAACTCCCACAGTTATGCACCAGTGGATCACTAGAGAGCTGTTGATAACACGTTGTGAATTGCAGTTTATAAATAAACTAAATTGAATTGAATACAGAGGATTCATGTTTTTTGCACAGAAGCCTAGATTCATGCATATCACCCATGTTAAGATGTTTATGTGATATAATGATCGCCAAATCTACAACAACTGAAGTATATGAAGTATAATCACAGGAGAATTTACTTTTATCATCAGCTTTAAAAGTAGGTAAATGTAGTTTTAATTGGAGGGAATGCCTCCCACTTAACTTTTTGGGGGCTTGTCCAGGATAATTGCACTATTTTTGAGTGGCAAAAAACCTACCAAATAAAGTTATCCATGATGATTGGCGGGATATTAAACAACTTACCCAAAAAGATAAGAATGGTTTTATATATATATATATATATATATATATATATATATATATATATATACACATACATATAATCCTTTTTTATTTTTTAAGTAACAGGGGGTGAGCATTTCTCACCGTCTCTGTAGAAGGACTCCTCCAATGGTTTTGGGTGCATCAATGTGAAGGGCAGCTCAACAAAGACGTCACTGAAAAACAGATCATACGTATTGCATTGTATTGCAGCTTAAAAACATTTTGTTCTGATCAAAACTAGATTAATTAAATTGATTTATTAAAGATATACATGTCTATAAAATTAAGAGAAATATGCATTTAGATGTTCAGATGACCTTCTGTAACATTAGGGTGTTTTCATCTGTGAGAGTGAAAGGTTACCTGGAAGCCAGATCTCCAAGAAGCCTGAAATCAATAAATATTTAACAGTTTTTAGAGGAGCAGCCTATCATTTCCAGCATTTTAAACACATGCAGTCGTTTCTCTCAAGGGTGGTTTGTTAAAAACATCATTCTAATGCAGCATGTCACAGGTGTAACACATGTAATTTGTCACACCTAAATTTATTACTTTGTATGTATGAACTGGTTTAAAGTATAAATTCTTATTTATTAGGAATATGTATTTTTTACCTTGAGACGAAGAAAGAAACTGTATTCATACAAAATAACAATATAAGTTATAGCAGAGGAAGTTTTAAGCTTTGCTATAAGTACATTTTTCCATTTGGAAAAAAACATTTTTTACCATTACAAACAAATTTACTTTGGAATAAAGTAGTGACAAAAATTTTAAATTGTATATATCAAAGAGGGGTCCAATTATATTTATTGACCACAGACACAGGGTATATCCTTCCTGATAACTTAGAATCGGCTCCTTATGCTAAATTTCACTTAAAGACTACAATGCCTGCTCGTCATAAACATTTCTATTCTGAAACTGAGTAGAGTGCATTATTCTTGTTGAAGTGGGACAAAATCAAATTATAACTTTATCAAATGACATGGACATTTTCCTTCTTCCAGTATACTTTGTGCAGCTGATTCTTTTTCTATGGAGGGCTTGAACATATTGGATATTTAAGTGATATAAAAAGTGATACATTTCTACTAAACAGATCAAGAACAGAAATTCCAAGGATTTAGCCAAGGCTTTGGATCCTCAGTCCTTTTGTCATACATCGAAATATATTTGTTTGGTCATTTTTACAGTTTCTACTGAAATAATTGAATACAATTGTTTTTGTTATAGCTTGCAAATTAATACAACAGTAAAAATGTGACTATTGAACTTGCACAATTAGTGTGGTGTTCTCTCTGGAGTTCTTGTCTAATCAATCCTGTACTAATTTGGTGTCATATTAATACAGTTTATCATTCTACTATTTATAATGGATTTACAGAGGGCATGAAAGTAATGGGGAATTTTAGCTCAATAGCCTTATATTTCACTTGAAGAGACCACTTATTTAAACTTACTATTTGACTTGCATCCACAGAGATTTATGCATAATAATGCAACGATTATAAATAATGTGTGAATCATTTTATGAAAATATGCAAAAATGTAAGACATATGTAAGACACTTTCCAGCTTTGTGTTTCATTTGATTTTTTCAAAAAGTTTTATCTTTATTGTTTTTGTCTAATTCATTTCTGGGCTGATTGCTGTCAGGTTTCCTCAACTTATTTGGAGTTTTGACCGGGAGAGTCAAAGTCTGCTGTACAATTCATGGTAGAAAACAGAGATGAGGACCTAAATCCTGACTGACCCAAAGACGTCCAAATAGGAAGGATAGGGGGTTCAATTTAAATGCCTACTGTCTAGAGGCTACTGATGAAAAATAGCATTTTAACTCATTTAAAAGCATCAACGATAGTGTTGATACCCACCCGCCTCGCGACACAACAAGCTTCACTTTGACTTTGTAGGACACGATGATGCCAAGAATCTCCTTGTTGGCTCCTTCTCTCAGGCTTCATAGGAAAGGAAAGAAATTGTCAGACATCAACATCATCTTTAACTAAAAAAGAAGTCATTACAGGTGTGACAGGACCCACAGAGTGCTGGAGGCCAGATTGGTGTCTTCATGCTTCAGCTTTCCATCCAGAGCAAGACCACGTTTTTCCCGATTGTTGGCCAGGAACGGAGTGAGAGTAAACACCTTGCAGAAAGTTGAGCTGGGAGCCACAACATCACTGATGATGAAAGGACAATTTTCAGGTTATATATAAATGATTCAACAGCTTTAGATGTTCCTTTCAGGATAATTGAAAGTTCAGAATGTGCATAGGCCAAGTGTAGTTGTAAGATAATCATCTTACAGTATGGGGGAACAGAAGGAAATGCTGAATGTATGCAGGATCATCAGGCACATTTTAACAGCTTGTGGAAGACAGCAGGGTCCATTGTAAAGGGAGTGGGTTCCTTTGCCTTTTTTATTGATTTATATCATCATACTGAATCCACATCTCTCTCCTGCTATTATTTAATACTCTAAAACAATCCATTTTCATAATCATTAACCATTTATTCTTTCACTCTAGAAAAATATTTTCAAATGGAATATTTAAAAAATGATTTAAAAAAAATTCTCAAATTTAACTCAATTTCAAATTAAGTATATATTACAAACTTAAAACCTTTCTTTTACCTAATATTTCTATGTATTTGGTTCTGGTCCCTGTTTGAATTTATTCTTGACAGTACAGTAGATATTATTATTCATAATATATTTCCTTAAAATATAATATAGAAAACTACTTTCAATCATTAGTAGTCAACATCCCCTGATATGTATGAACTGATAAACAGTCAACATAAAGAAGCACCATTTCATATCCAAGGATGAAATTTTTCAATTACTGCAGTAGAAAAACACAAAGGGGAAACAAACATAATGATCCAACGCTGCTGGTGGAGGAAAATGCTCTCCAGATGAAACAAGTCATAAAAGGTTTAAAATAACCTTCCTGACAAAAAATCTCGATAGATAAAAAGAGTGAAGCAAGGAATGTAGATTAAGCTCTTGTTTTGACTACGTTTAGTTGGTTCTGGTGTTGCCTTCAACATAAGTAAATCAGTTTACCTTAGCGAGATGACTCTAAAAGATTAAGTGTTTCAGGCATCAGTTTCCTCTAAAACTATAGGTTATGATTAATCTGTTTCTCTCTTTCTGCTCGCTAGTTGGATCCTATATTATAGATTCAACTCAGCTTCATAATACAGTAACTATCATACACTGCAAAAACGATCTAGAAATAAGTAAAAAATTTCTTAAATTGAGTGTATTCACCCTTAATTTGAGCAGGTAAATGAGAAAGTTTGCCAATGGAATGAGTAATTTTACTCTTAAAATAAGATAATTAGATAATATGCACTTGAAATAAGACAGTGCAATTGTGTTTTCTTATTTTAAGTGTAAGTTGTCTTGTTCCATTGGCAAAATGTCTCTTTTACCTCCTCAATCCAAGAACAAATGCACTTATTTTAAGAAAAAATGACTTATCTAGATTCAGATTTTTTGCAGTGTAGAGACCATCCATCTTGAAATTAAAATAACTGTGATTAGAGCAATCACCAAATCTTTAGTATCTTCTTGAGCCTTTGATGTTAATTCATCTGTACACAGTGAATAAATATTCCTGAACCGAGGCCCTAATTTATCCATCCATCCATCCATCCATCCATCCATCCATCCATCCATCCATCCATCCATCCATCCATCCATCCATCCATACATCCATCCATCCATCCATCCATACATCCATCCATCCATCCATCCATCCATCCATCCATCCATACATCCATCCATCCATCCATCCATCCATCCATCCATCCAGATCCGATTCCCTGGGGCACATTAACTGAGCTCATATCTCATAACTGTTAAATGACAGAATGTAGTCAGATCAATAAACTGAGAGCATCTAACTTCACTTCAGATCTTTATTCACTATATCCCACCAGAGCAGTATAAAATTCACTGAAGATAAACTCATGAAGTTATTCCCTTGCAAACCCATTACTCCCTACCTTCATATTACATTTTTTTTTCTTTCAAATTGGCATTAAACATGACATATGAAGCCTCAGGAAGATTCCTACTCGAACAATGTCTCCGGTATGAAATATTTTGCACGAAGACAGATTGTTTGATGCTTAGATTCTTGTTACTGTTTATTTCTGATTAAAACAGTGATGTTGCAGGCTCCCGCTGCTCACATATATGGTGGGAATCACCATAGTAACCAGTGACTGAGGGATTTCGTAGTGTTTAGTTACCATGGTGAGTTTCTGATTCCTTACAGAGCAAAGGAGCTAGATGGAGGCAGTTACTCCATTGGCTCCTAATTAAACGTTCCAGTTCTTCCACCCTGACATTATAATAAACATATACGTTACATCTTTGTTTTGCTATCCTAATATAGTTAATAACAGCATGATACCAGAAGGAAGTGGTCAGTTTTTAATGCAGCAATTGGCAGTTTTTTTTGTTTGTTTGTTTCTGCTTGCTTGACCTAGCACTGAGGAATTACTTATGGAGAGAAAATTTGTTCAGAAATCTTTGAGGTAAGAAGAAAATTTTAGTTTTTTTAGAGTGTGGTGAATGAAAGAGGCTCACTCAGACTCTTCGACGGCTACTGGACATTTGTACTGTGCCGTGTTGAACAAGCAGATGTCTGCAAACTGCCGCACTGCAGAAACAGAAACAAGAGTTAGATGAACCCACATGGCGGCTGCAAAAATCATTGGCTCAGTCCAAATACAGCAAATTATAGCCCTTAGCTTATTCATCCACCTTAAATTGGGGCCAACTTGAAAAACTCTATTATAGGTAGAAAAGAAACACTTAACTACTGTGTTGAATCACCATTGTGTAATGGAAATGCACATTTACCTAAATTCAATTCAAAAATGTATTTTATAATCCTAAAGGGAAATTAAGTATTCTAATAAAGTAATTTGCTCTGATGCTGTTACTCTAGCAGATGATTCCAGACGAGATCGTACACTCCACAGCAAATAGTGGATTTAACAGCATCTCGCTGCAAACACTGTAGCCCTCATAAGAAGTACAAACTGCTCTATCCTTTTTTGTAGAGAATCTTCCAGTTGTTTCCCTAGAGGAGTCTCTTGTCCAGGTGAACACCAAGGTATTTAAATTCCCACACCAACTCAGTTTCTTCTACAATAATGATAATAGCATTTTACTTTGTCCTTTTTCTTCTGTAATCTACAGTCATCTCCCTTCTTTTTTTCATATGGATCGGTTTTTTTTTTCTAAAACTGAGGACTGTCTTTTAAAGGAAGTCAGCAGTGTACAAAATAAAATGAATGGTGAGAGAAATGTCCCCTGCGTTGCTACTGTGTTGCTGAAAACTTGATCTTGACCCTTCAGTCTCACAGACTGTGGTTTGTCAGTATTATATTCAGGTGATTGTTGATGCTTTCCCCTGAGTCTTCTGGAGTTTTGATTGTGTTAAAAGCACTGGAGATTTCAAGGGATGTTATCCTCACAGTACTTTCTGCCTTGTCAAAATGGCAGTGGATTTTTTTTAAGGTAGGTGTATTATAGCGTTTCAACTTCATGCCAATAAGCAAATTGCAGGGGGTCCTGACAGCTGCTTCTTTGCTTGCTGGGGTGAACCACACGAGTCTCTCTAGGATCTTCATTATGTGTGATGTCTGGGCTACAAGTCTACAGTGAGAGGACTGTTTAAGCCGGGCATACACTGTGTGATATTTTCAATCGTTGCATCCAGCTACAGCTCAAATTGTGCAATGAAATCGCATGTTTAAAAATTCACTGCTCACGATGCATGTTCTCACACTGTGCGGCCTGATGCTCTGATGCGATCTTACAACAGCCGTCCGAATTTCGAACATGTTTGATTTTCTCCCGACCTCATGATTCCTGATCGGGAGGCGGTCGTGAGGGGCTAATCTCCCCTTGTTACCCCCTGTATACTACACGACACACAATGAAGCTCAAACTCGGCTTGACTAGAGAATTGGCCCGAAAAGGGCAAAACAATCATACAGTGTACTGTATGCCCGGTTACCTAGTTATATTTGGTACTGGAACAAGGCAGGAGGTCTTCCACATAAATGGAATTGTCTCCTGGTTTAGGTTAAGGTTGAAGAGGTGTTGTAGAATTCCACAGGGTGTCTCTGCACCTGATGGATCTATGACTTATTGTGTTTAACCCTCTCCAGTTCTCTTTTCACTTGACCTCATGAGACAGACAGTTCAAACGCGTGTGGAGCAGCACTATTTTCTGATTTGGTTGAGAACAACTGCATAGAAGCAGGAACATCCATGGCAGAGTTGAAAGATGAAACATTGTAAGAGGGAATATTTGGGTCAAGGGAGAATGGGATGTTTGTTTGATGTGGGCAGGAGAAAGATACTGTACTTCTTCCTGAACTGCCATTCCCTCCTTACTTGCAGCACTATTCATACAGCACTTTTAATGGCAACCCCTGACACATTTCTGTTTTGGCTTAAGAGTCCTGAGGAATTTGCTGTATTTGGATTGAGTCATATAAAACAGCTGGGAGACTTACCTGCGATTTTCATCTTCTTCACTGTCTTATTGGTGTTGTTGGTGACATGAACATTGACACTGATGGGCTCCCCATGGTAATAAATCTGAGACAGAACACACATAGAACAGCAGAACTTTTTATTAACAACATTTGGACTGTTCAGTTTGGGAAGGAACACTGTTGTGGATCAAAAGTCTATGACGTAACAACCCCCCCCCCCCCCCCCCCCCCCCCCCCACCAACGTCATACCCCTTTAAAACCAGTGAACAACCCTTTTCTCGCCCTTTATACCCAGGGTTGCCGTCTGAAAGGGAGAGACATACCTTCTTTAGCTGAAGCTATAACAGGTGCTCACATTCCTCTGGAAAGTTGTGTTTTTTCTGGTGAAAATAGACAGCCTTTCTTGTCTATCAAAGCAAGTAGATTGTAATGTGTCATCTCAAACCAGCCCTCCCTGAAGCAGATGAGAAAAACTACATACGGTTTATCGCCATGGTTGACCCATGTTGCTGCCTCAGATCCATTCTGGCCTGACTGCCTGTTGTCGAGGTGCTGTTGTGAAGCTGCCAAGTTGTCACTGACTGCATTGGTGTTGCTATTGAGCCTCCAGTTGCCAGCATACACCGGTTCTTGTGGGAAGAGAACCGATTCTAAAACCAATTCTAAAATATTCTAAAACCTTGGGCAAGGTGTTAGAATATTTATCTGCATGTGTTTTTATCTGAACGAGGCTCCTCAATTTTAAATGCTTATGGTTTCATGTCATAAGAGTCTGAGCAGAATGCTGTTTCACGAAGTGTGAGTGTGAATGAGTGTGCTCGGCACTGTGTGTGTCTGAGCAATCAGCGCTGAGTGGCTTCCCTCCCTTTCTCTTTTATCTAATCTTTGTCCACTTTGTCCAAAAAGTTGATTTGAAAAGGTTTGAGGGACTAGCTTCAGGCCACCTCACTTTCGGCCACATGTAGGCTTGGAGGCAACCATATTCCTACAAGCATTTTATGAAACATTGTTCTAGTGATGGCCACAAGTTAGCTGGGGTGTGGCTTGGCCTCTTGCTGTAATCAGAACCAGTCCATGTTGCATCCAGTGCTGCTATGTTGAATGCATTGTGATTATTGTTCATTGTTCACTGTAAAAACGAATTAAGTTTTATTCATTTCCACCTAAAAGCTGTGCATCAGTTTTTTTTTCTTTTTTTTGCTGTTATTTCTAAAAGGACTTCCCTAAATGCAATCGATCCATTACGCCATAAAACCTATACATCTTCAGAGACTCTTTCAACTGACACCTTTTATTTACCTTGTGTTAATTAATTGAACAGCTATCATGTTCATATACTTTGTTAAACTGAGTGATGCTTTAATAAATTGTGAAGTTCAACAGAACAGATAGATAAGTCTCTCCTCAACTCATCTCTCTATTTCCTTATCCGCCCCTTTGGGAGCAGAGCTTTCCCTCACCAATCCCCCCAAACTCTGGAATTCTCTCCCATCTGACTTCCATAACATTGATAATCAGCATCTGTTTAATCCAAACTCAAAACGCACCTTTTCAAGACAGCTTTATCTTTCTGATTTTAAACTTTCATTTATGATGTTTTAAATTTTTATTATTGTTGATTTTTTTTTGTAAATTGACTGTTTTGAAAGGCACTTCTAAATAAAATATTGAATATTAATAATATTATTAATAATAATAATAATAATAATTATTATTATTATTATTATTATTATTATTATTATTATTAGAGTCCATTTAATGAATATTAACTGTTGTGATTTTTTGTAACAGTAATCGATTGAACAAAAAACAGTTAATTTTTTTATTGGTTGATGTTTATTGTCTCTGCTTAAAACCATAGTCCAAATTATTAAATTTACAGGTGGAGGAGACAAAAGAGGAGTTTTTTACAGCCAGTCCAGGATAATCCTACTAGTAAGATGACTAATGAACCTTGATGAGTAAGTATATTGTATTTATAATAATTTAAATAAAAGAAATATTATTTGGTTTTACCATTGATTTGAATGACATACTAATAAATTAGAACTTCTGGGTAAACCCTGTTCCTCCCGTCCAACGAATCAGACAAACACTGGAACAACAGCATACAGACTGGAGTCAAAGATTCAACAACTTCTCTGGAAACGTGAGTCAGCAACCAGAACCTCTTCTCCAAGATCACGAATCAAATTTCCCACTGAGCCTGAACTACTCGCTGTGTCTTCCCCTCACTTTTCAGTTCCGGTTGAGCAGTGTTCAAAGCAACACTTCTCTCTGCATTATCTCTTCAATAAAACCTGTTAAACCTTTTCTCCTGGTCTCCCTGTTTGGTCTTCAGCATTTGGGTCTGAACTTTAGTAAAATCATGACATTTTCAGAAAGGAAACAAAGTTATTCCAGCTAAAACCAGCGCAGCATGTCCTTCCATGTCACTGCATCCTACTGGCTTCTCGCAAAATGTATTGTCAGGAGTTTGTGAATTCACAAATCCCACAAAAATTCATCCTCCTTGCAAGGTAAGGGTGCCTCTAATAAACATACAAACTTTATATAAAATATTTTCCTGGATGGAAGCCTGTGTTCCAACTCTGGCTCAAATTTGTCAAAGCAAAGCTAAAAGAACATAAGTGTAGCCTAAAAATCCATCACATTTGAAGGCAGTTTTTACCTCCTTATCCAGTGAGGCTTCCAGGTGCAGAGGTTTATCCGACATCAGGAACTGTCTGGTGGTCTCGGCTGTTGGCTGAGGCCCTGGTTTCTCTGGAGCATACTGCACCTTCCTGATCACCAGACGCACTGAATTCCTGAAACAGCGAGACCTTACAATCGGCTTGCAGGATATGTAAATATCTGAAATCTAAGCAGTATCTACTGTATACCCAGATCAAAGCAGTCAGGAATCCTTATTTCTCCCTCACTGGGGATTATAGTGCAGCTCACTGAGTTTTACCTTTTGTGGATCTTCTCCTCAATATTCTCTGCACAGAAAGCTTTCACCTCAAAGTCCACTCCGCAGGCCTGAGGGCAGGAACATGATCATAAGTTGGTATGAATTGGAGTCTTTCAGAAATGACAGAAGAGCAGAAGATCCAATATAAGTGAAGATACCTTCCCTGTGTCCTCAGGTCCCGGCTGCAGGGTGACGGAGCATGGCAGGTTCAGAGGGATCTATAAGTATATCAGATAAAAATGTAAAGGTCACTTTGAATACGCTTTTGCTTTTCGTCAAGAATGCTGAACTACTGTTATATTTTATAGTGACTGCAAACAAACCAATATAAAGAATTATTTGGACGTGAGACTTTGAGCCAGATTTCACGTGCTTACATTTTTTGTTGCCTTGTTTTCAGCTGTTGCAGGAGTGTGTGTTACTACTACGGAAAGACATAAATGTGGGGAAGAAAGAAACAATTTTGTCCACTACAATATCATTTTTTTTTTTAGTTTAAGCAAGATTCTGGCTGGCTAAATCTAAAAGCAGTTTTCGGACTAACACTAAATATCGACACTGAAACTGGACTAACATGGAAAAGAGGAATTCATGACAAAATTTTCACTAAAATCAATTTACATTTTAGTCAGAGGACTATAGGCTTACAATTATTCATATGATGTCCAAATTGACAATTTCTAAATATCATATTTAATTAAGATATGTTTAACGAAATTATAATAATAATAATTGAACATCATTGATCTCACAATGGAGAGATTCTGGCTCATGACAAATCCCCTTTGGGAAGCAGTGGGCTGCCACTCTGCGGCACAATCTAGGTTTAAGGGTCTTGCTCAGGGACCCAGAGAGCAGGCTGTACAGATCCAACCAGGTACTTGCAACCTTCCCAGAGCACAAGCACACTGCTCTATCCACTAGGCCACCACACATAATGTGTATGATGAAAAAATTGACAATTTACTCAATATTTGCGTTAACTTTATTAGCAATCCCCTCCCATTCTCTTTCACCGGTTTATTAATGGAAACAGTGTTTCTCTTCTTTTTATTTTTTGTCGGAATTCCTTAGTCTTCCAGCAGAAGTTGCAGTAGGAAAATATGGTACAGGTTCACGTTACACCACTGTTTTTTTCATTGTACTCAGTGATTAACTGCATGGTCTAATGCAGTCTAATGCATGGTCTAATGCTCACATCAACACTGAGTTAAACCTGTCATGCACTAGTAACAGTAAGCAAATAAGGTGTCCTTTTGTTGAAACCCAGTCATATTGTGCCTAGGTTGAGTCAAAGTAGGGCCCCTCTGGACAGTTAAACCTGGATACAATTTCGGGCTGGATGTATTTCATTCAGAGCTACAAATATTTTCCCTAGGCAGTCTAAACAGGTTATTAGGCCGTGCATCATCATCGTTAGGGTTGGGAATTGAAAAGATTTTCACGATTCCGATTCCCTTTTCGATTCTATGAAACGATTCGATTCTTTATCGATTCTTTTTTCGATTCCAATTTGGGGGAAAAAGGAGAACAAACAGTTTGATTATCAGCATCAACTTTGTTTACTTAACTATTGCACAATCTTAAAAAATCAACAAGATCAAGATGTCCACAGGAAATGTGAAACTGGAGTAACATCCGTGTTTAAATGAAAAATTAATACAAGAACAAACTTAATAACCAACAATGTCTAATAACAAATGATGGGATAATAACCTATTTTAAATAACAAAAAATACTAATTATAAAACAGTAGTAGGGAAAATTAACAGTTATTTTGCAGAAAGATGAGCATATCTGCTTTTTCTGGAAGGATACGGGATATTTCAGGGCTTATGGTGTCTCCAGCCGTGGAGAACACCCTCTCAGATGGGGTGGAGGAAGCCTTGCTTGTATCTTGCTTGTTCCACCACCACAGTGAGGCGCTATCCCTGCAGGGGATGGAGGGCAAGCTTTTATAGAGCTGGATTTCCTGATCTACCCTCTGGGCTAAGGAAAGACGGGGCTTTGATTCACAAAGTGACCGCAGCTCGTTGTCTTCCTCCTCGAATAGTTCTTCCAACTTGCGCAACTTGCGTAAGTTACGTAACTTACGTAAAAAACGTGACGTAAGTCGTGCTCGCCAGAGCCGGCGCTCTAGGCTCTGGTGCTGCGGGAATCGAAAAAAGAATCGTTCAGCGAGCTGCCGAACGATGCCATGGAATCGGAAAATACGGAACAGGTTCTGAACAGGAACCGGTTTTCGATTCCCATCCCTAATCATCATCATCATCTTTTAACAGCAGGGCAGTATTATCTTTGGAAATGTGATACCACTGGAGATTTCCTCTAGCAGTGCAATAGCTGCTTCAGTACCGCAAACAATGAGTATGTGTGACTCCATCATCAGAGGGTCCACAGTATTTAAGATGTCTTCAGACCTTGCCTCGACGCCGCAGTGTTTAATCCAGTTGGTTAGCACCTAAGCCTAGTATCTCTGAGAACCTTCGTTGACTTTTGAATCCAGACTGGATTCTAACCTTTGTCTCTGTTTTCCAGGAAACCTGTTTTTCTCCTTTGAAGCTCAGGAAGAGCTTAACCTGCCGAGCCTGCCCTCTGAGCCAAACCTGAAGCCTCTCTCTGGATTTTCCATGCAGCTCTGGACAAAGAGCTGGAAACTCAAAGCCAAGGTCAGCTCTCTCTCAAGAAGTAAGACGCTGAAGCAGTTAACGGACTCTGCTGAACAAACTATCTCCGGACCCAACAGTTCCCCTCTCAAGGCTCTAACCAAGAACCCTCAAGACTCCAGTGAACCAGTTCCCCAGGCCTGAACCAGAACCAGTGATTCATACAGTGCTTGTGACAATAAACATTGTTAAACCTTTTACTTCTGTTTCTGTCTCCGTGGTGTTCTGCATAACTGGGTCTCACTAGTGAACCCATCATGACACATTGTAATCCAGGGTTTGTTGTGCCTACTGTACACCAGTTTTTAGGGTGACTTATTCAAGACCAGATTGGAGATTTATTAAAAACAACAAAGTCAAGAATCAAAAGCCTTAGACTCTTCTGCTTTGTTTGCTTAGATTCCAACAGGGTAAATAAAGCACTTTCGTTTAGCTACATTAGTTAAAAGCAAGAAAGAAAAATACTACTGAATACAGAAGCCTTAAATACCCAAGCTCCATTTGATATCAGAGATCTGATTGTTCCTTATGTTCCTAACAGAGCACTTCGCTCTCAATCTGCAGGTTTACTAGTGGTTCCCAGAATTTATAAAAGTCGAATGGGAGGCAGATCTTTTAGTTATCAGGCTCCTCTCCTGTGGAACTAACTACCAGTCTGTGAGGCAGACACCCTGTCTACTTTTAAGGCTAGGCTTAAAACTTTCCTTTTAGATAAAGCTTATAGTTAGAGTGGCTCAGGTTATCCTGACCTATCTCTATAGTTATTCTGCTATAGGCCTAGACTTCTGGAGGACATAGGGACCCCTATATCCTCATTCTGCTTCATTCTATCTCTATTCTCCCACTCTGCAGAATCTATTAGTTTAATCTCTAATGTTCTGCTCTCTCTGCTTTTTCTCATAGTAGCTTCATCTGGTCTGTTCCTGACTGTGACTCCATCCTGGAGAGAAATATCAGCTGTGCTGCTGCCATCAACACCTTTGTTTATAGATGTTGGAGACCGGTCTTTTTTTTTCTCCACTGTAGTCCTGTTTCTCTGACTGTGACTGGCTGGATGTGCTCTCTTCATCCTCTGACATGGGAGCTGACTCGGTGCTCGTCTGCCTGGCTGTGTGTTTCCTGGACGGGGCCGCCTTTTACAGCTGCTTTTTTTTATCTATGCTTCTGTCGCCTTGAACACCAGTCAGCCTCAGCAGATGGCTGCTCACACTGAGCCTGGTTCTGCTGGAGGTTTCTTCCTGTTTAAAGAGAGTTTTTCCTCTCCACTGTCGCTACAAGCATGCTTAGTGTGAGGGATTGCCTCCGTGTCAATAAGTCAATGCAATCAACTGGTTTTCCTTAGATAGAAAACTGTGAATCTATTTGACTGTATGATCTGGTGAACTGTGAAGTGCCTTGAGATGAATAAACTGAATTGAACTGAATTGAATTAAAGAGTCAAGTTACAGTTTAGTCTCCATACCTCAAAGGTGAACGGGTAGGCGTGTTCTCCCAGTTTTTTAATCAGGCGTTCTTGAAGACGAGTCAGACTCTTCTTCTCCTCAGGTACTGGAGGAAATGCCTGGATATTCGCCACAAACAGGTCCTTCCTAAACGTTAATCCAAGGACGTCCAAATCCTCCCGACCATATCGGAATGCACAGGTCAGAGTGACAAACACTGATAGAAAACAGAAATCAATTCATGTTAGAGTACTAATGTTCCCTGAAGCTAAAGCTGCTGACTTTGGATTCAGGCATGCTACTTTTCATTTTTTTTTTATGTTCAGCATCTCCAGGAGTCTTCCCTGAGGTACACCACTAAATTACACAACAGACCGCTGCCTCAACTAGAATACTAGAAATCCATTTGTTAGGATTCTTACCTTTCCTCTCTTTCAGGTATTCTGGGTCGATCAAAACAACACCGTCTGTAAGAAGACATGAACAGAGAGTGAACAAAGCCTGATGGATGGGTCTAAAATATAACTTAAAGTAAAACCTCCTCTCACCAACAGGCTCTACAAGGTCCACATGGTCCACAAAGTCTCTCTTTCCCAGGTAGACTGTGAGCTGATGGAAAATCACAACAGAATCGGACTCAGAATCAGATGGTAATTCTAATTAATTACTAATTAATTAATGGTAATTACCTTCACACTTGCACACTAAGTCAATCTTCCTGGAATAAGTGCATTTTCCCTTGTCTGATTTGAAAACTCATCAGTGGAATAAGATTTTATAAAATTAACTCCTACGCTGCATCACCAAAATATTTTAATTCAAGGGTAGGGATACACATTTGTTTGGCAGATAATCTGATTTACCTGATCAAATTATGACAAATACACTTTTTAAAGAAATCATGACTTATTTTTAGACCAGTTTTTGTATTTCAATGTGCATTTGGGACCCTAATGTGCTGCAAATGGGCTATGAAAAGAACAAAAGAGGACTGTTTATGGTTTACGTTTCAAAGCGAACAACAAATAACAAATATTGGAAAAAAAAAAAAGGAAAAGATCGGGTGCTTAATTACATGAAAAGTATTTTGAAAAAAATACTTTGGCAATAAAATTCGAAAGCCACATAAGACCTGCAAGGGGCACAAAACTGTTTTTGGTTCGAAGTTGGAATCTCTTCTTTAGTCTCTTTGTTAGTCTTTATGACGCTGAGGTAAACATGGCAAATGTATGAGGCAAAAAGACTCAATTTTCACAAATAGATATATGATTCACAAATGCACGTGTGGGGTCTCATACAAGAACTGTTCTTACAAAAAAAGATCATTCTTAAGTTGTTTGTATGAGTGATTTAGGAGAAAACATAACTGCTATTTCTAATCTTCTCTCAAGTACAAAAAAAATTGCAAATGCTCCAGAATTGTCGTGGGAGTCTTTCACAATTAGTAAGCTGTTATCAAAGCCCAGTTTTTCACTTAGGCTAAGTTCAGACCGCATGCGATAGAAGCAGCAGGAAATATTCTGCAGCTTAATTTTCGATGCTTGTAAACATCAAGGTCTTCAGGAGCATATTTGATTCTCCTGAAGCACGTCCAGTTAAGTGTGTAAAGATGCGTCTGATGATTCAGCTGCTCCTGCGTTCAACAGCAAAGAGCAGCTTTGCTATATTTCCTGCTATAAATGGGTAAAAAGCAGTTTTAAAATGTTTTTAAGTGATCCCTGATCTGACCAGTGATGACATGTTTAGCCGCATGTCGTCATTCAATCGCTGGTTGTCTAGGTGGTGCCCTGAAAACAACGTGGGCTACATTAATAATTGGCAATCCTTTTGGGGAAAGCCTGGTCTGATTCGGAGAGACGGCATCCATCCCACTTTGGATGGTGCAGCTCTTCTTTCTAGGAATCTGGCCACATTTATTAGTCCTCCAAAACCCTGACCACCCAGGGTGCAGACCAGGAAGCAGAGTTGTAGTTTAACACACATCTCTGCAGCTTCTCTACTGTTACCCACTCTTTACTCCATCCAGACAGTGTCTTGCCCACGACCAAAATCTAATAAATTAGCAAAGATTCCCAAAGGAGTAAATCATGATAATCTAATTAAAATCAAAATAACTCCAATTGGGGAAAAAGTTAAAACAATTAAATGCGGTCTGTTTAACATAAGATCGCTTTCCTCTAAAAGTCTACTAGTTAATGACTTGATTTGTGATAATCACATTGACTTGTTTTGCCTTACAGAAACCTGGCTGCAGCAAGAGGATTATGTGAGCATAAATGAGGCAACTCCTTCAAGCTATTTAAATTTTCACATCCCCAGAAGTTCTGGGCGAGGAGGAGGAGTAGCAACAATCTTCCAGTCTGACTTACTGATTACTCCCAAAACAATTAATTCCTACAACTCTTTTGAACATTTAACCCTTAATTTCCCTGATCCAAATTTCAAGGCAAGAAAACCTCTTCTTTTTGTAACTTTGTATCGTCCACCAGGTCCTTACTCTGAATTTTTAGATGAGTTTTCAGAGTTCCTTTCTGATTTGGTATTAAATACTGACAGGGTCATCATAGTGGGAGATTTTAACATCCATGCTGACATTGAAGGCGATAGCTTAAGAGCAGCCTTTAATGCTATCTTAGACACTATTGGCTTTGTTCAAAATGTGAATAGTCCCACGCATTCTCATCTTCATACTTTGGATCTTGTGCTGACATACGGCATAGAATGTGAAGAAATAACAGTATTTCCTCACAACCCTGTCCTCTCTGACCACTTTCTAATAACCTTCAGGATTACTTTAACAGAGTTCTCCTCCCCCAAAAGAAGGTTCAATTTTAGTAGATCTTTATCAGATAGTGCAGTTATAAATTTTAAAGAATCTGCTTCACTTTCTCTCTGCTCTGTGTCACTGAGCAGTGCTGCAGAGTGCAAAAGCTTAGCTTATTCCCCTTCACAGGTTGATGATTTTGTTGATGGGGTTGCTAGTTCTCTGCGTATTGCCTTAGACAACGCAGCTCCTTTGAAAATGAAAACCGTTAAAAATAGAAAGCTTGCTCCTTGGTTTAATGCAGAGCTGCGTACTTTGAAGCAAAATGCTAGGAAACTGGAGAGAAAATATCGCTCCACAGGCCTGCGAGAGTCCTTCCTAGTCTGGAAAAATGGTTTACTGCTGTATAAGAGGACCCTTTGTAAAGCAAGAGCAGCATACTTCTCCTCATTAATAGAGGAGAATAAGAATAATCCTAGATTTCTTTTTAATACAGTTGCCAAACTCACCCAGAGCCATAGCTCTGTTGAACCGTCCATTCCACCTGCTCTTAGCAGCAATGATTTTATGGGATTCTTTATAAATAAGATTGATCTTATTAAAAATAAGATCATAAGCACTCCTCTATCCGCGATTGTACCTGAGGTAGTCATGGAATCTGAACTGGGTTTAGACTGCTTTGATCCAGTTGAACTCTCTGAATTAGCAAAATTATTGTCTTCATCTAAGCCTTCAACTTGTATGTTAGATCCAGTTCCAACCAGGTTATTTAAGGAGGTATTCCCTTTGATCTCCTCCTCCATTTTAGATGTGATTAATCTATCTCTGTTACAGGGATATGTACCTAGAGCTTTTAAGATTGCTGTAATTAAACCTCTGCTTAAGAAACCGTCTCTTGACCCAGATGACTTGGTCAATTATAGACCTATATCCAATCTTCCTTTCTTATCCAAAATTCTTGAGAAAGTAGTTGCCAAACAAGTTTGCGATCACTTCCACCATAATGAACTTTTTGAAGAGTTTCAGTCTGGCTTTAGAGCTCATCATAGCACTGAAACAGCTCTGGTGAAAGTCACTAATGATATTCTCATGGCCTCAGATAATGGACTTGTATCTGTGCTCGTCCTGTTGGATCTTAGTGCTGCATTTGATACAGTTGACCATAATATTCTTTTAGAAAGACTTGAATATTTTGTTGGAATTAAAGGAACAGCACTAGACTGGTTTAAATCTTATCTATCTGATCGAATTCAGTTTGTTCATGTTAATGATAGATCTTCAACACGCTCAAAGGTTACCTGTGGAGTACCACAGGGATCAGTGCTAGGACCAATTCTCTTTACTTTATACATGCTCCCAATTGGTAGAATTATTAGACAGCATGGGATTAATTTCCACTGTTATGCTGATGATACCCAGCTATATCTGTCTATAAATCCAGATGAAGCTAACCCATTACATAGATTACAGGCATGTCTTGAAGACATAAAAACCTGGATGACTCTTAATTTTCTGCTTCTGAATGCAGACAAAACAGAAGTTATAGTCTTTGGACCAGAGTCTCTGAAAAAGAAACTGATTAGCCAGTCACTTCATTTGGATGGGATTAAACTGATTTCAGATAATAAAGTAAAAAATCTTGGTGTTATTTTTGATCAGGACCTGTCATTTAAATCCCATATCAAAGAGGTTTCTAGAATTTCCTTCTTTCATCTGAGGAACATTGCAAAAATTAGAAATCTCCTGTCCAGGGGTGATGCTGAGAAACTAGTCCATGCATTTGTTACTTCAAGGCTGGACTATTGTAATTCTTTACTATCAGGAAGTCCACAAACTGTAGTTAAAAGCCTTCAGCTGATCCAAAATGCTGCAGCCAGAGTTCTAATGAAAATGAAAAAGAGAGATCATATCTCTCCTATCCTGGCTTCTCTTCATTGGCTTCCTGTTAAATCAAGAATAGAATTTAAAATCCTCCTTCTCACATATAAAGCCTTAAATGGCCAAGCTCCATCTTATATCAGAGATCTGATTGTTCCTTATGTTCCTAACAGAGCACTTCGCTCTCAATCTGCAGGTTTACTAGTGGTTCCTAGAATTTCTAAAAGTAGAATGGGAGGCAGATCTTTTAGTTATCAGGCTCCTCTCCTGTGGAACCAACTACCAGTTTTAGTCCGTGAGGCAGACACCCTGTCTACTTTTAAGGCTAGGCTTAAAACTTTCATTTTTGATAAAGCTTATAGTTAGGGTGGCTCAGGTTATCCTGAGCTATCTCTATAGTTATGCTGCTATAGGCTTAGACTTTTGGAGGACATAGGGACCCCCATTTCATCATTCTGCTTCATTCTCTCTCTGTTCTCCTATTCTGCAGAATCTGTTAGTTCAATCTCTAACCTTCTGCTCTCTCTGCTTTTCCTCAGAGTAGCTTTGCCTCGTCTGTTCCTGTTTGGCTGTGACGTCATCCTGGAAAAAAAATATCAGCTGTGCTGCTTCTATCAACACCCTTGTTAATAGATGTTGGAGATCGGCCTGTTTTCCAGTGTGGTCCTGTTTCTCTGACCGTGACTGAGTGGATGTGCTCTCTTCGTCCTCTGGCATGGGAGCTGCCTTGGAGCTCGTCTGCCTGGCTGTGTGTTTCCTGGACGGGGCCGCCTTTTACAGCTGCTTTTTGTATCTCTGCTTCTGTCTCCTTTAACCCCAGTCGGCCTCGGCAGATGGCCGCTCACACTGAGCCTGGTTCTGCTGGAGGTTTCTTCCTGTTAAAAGGGAGTTTTTCCTCTCCACTGTCGCTACAAGCATGCTTAGTGTGGGGGATTGTATTTGAGTCAATGAGTCAATGCAATCAACT